AAATTGACGCAGATTGAAAGGACAAATAGTAGTAATCTTGAGATGTACAAGCGATATTAGTATTTTCTCTGATTCGTATTGGACTTAGTGCACAAGCGACATCCGAAGTCGGTCTAAGTTTTCTAGATTTGTATGTCCTCGGATTCGAAACTGTCGTTGGACTATCGTCTGGGAAAGCAATATTTTACTACCTAAAAAGCTGATAGTCCGCCAAAATTTGAAATGACCTGTCCTTTGAGCTAACCTTAATATAATGAGCAGCAGCCTGCCTAATAGCGTTCTGCAGCTTAGCATGACGGCTCCCCGGTTCAGCGGGAAAAGCCGCGATCTGTTTACTCAACAGGTCAATGCCCTCGGCTAATTTCCCTATACGTCCACGCATGGCGTTTACATCCGACAGGTTGTACGTCGTCTCGCCGTCGAAGAGGCTTTGACACATCTGTGAAGTAAAAGCAAGATATGAATTGGTGATTTCCGAACATTTACAAGTAACTATAGTCTGAAGACGGAGTAATATAATATTTGCGGTATTGCCAGTTTTCACAAAATTTTAAATAGTTATGTAGTAGTTGTCGAGTTTTATCGAAAGATGAATGGTGAATGTTACGACGTTGTAATTATTAGTAATTGCGTTATTTATTCTTATTTTGACAATGGGCCTATTAGTAACGAGATCAATTTTTATTCATATTTATACATTTTAACAAAAATAGCCGGGTTTGATTATCTATATTGAATTAAAATTAAAAACTTCAAAATATGTCTCCTCTTCGTATTTTTCATAAACGCCGTTCTAAATACATTACATATATGTATGAACTTACAAAAATCGACAATTCAAATGAAATTGTGCTCAGTAATTGGATGAGTAACGAGTGTGGGATGATTCAAATTATACCAATTCGGCTATTTATACCGTAAACGTGACTAATATTCAGTCGATAGGCGATAAAATATTTATCGACTGCAATCAATTGCTGCTCGCAAGCGGGCACCAGTTTTGTGCAATAAACTGTCATTTTACTCCGTCTTGAAAAAAGACAGACTGTAGATAAATCGACGTGTATGAGAAGACTGATGCGAAGGAAGCGAAAGGGTATGTCAGGGGGTAATGAGTGGTGGTCTATACCTGCCTTATCCAGTAGGAAGCGGGTAAGATGGTGCGTATGTATGTTAATTTATTTCTATGGTAAACGCACCAGAGGGCTCTTATAAGACAAGAGACAAGGTAAAAGAGAGAAGTCGTATATGAATTGGCCAAAAAGTCCGTGCGGTTAAGGCATCTAATTAGGTAGCCACACTGCCAAATCGTACATTAATTTTCAGACTTTTTACGCGGGAAGTCGTTGTCTTTAGTTCTTTACAGTGGCCATTTTCAAACTCTAGCTAACTTTAAACAAAAAGAACTTTATTCGTTTAAAATGTTGTATTGTCTATGGTCAATTTAAAAATATATTTCGGCGCATATTTTAAGAACAGGCGGCAAAGATGTTTTACATTTATACTTTGCAAACAACGACATGCATTCCTCTGAAGATTACGATAATCAAAAATAACAATTTAATGGCTGTAGAGCTCCATAAGTTCGTCCGGGGAACGTGAGCATTACTGCGCACCGGATTTGAAGAGTAAAGGTCTATCCATACATACCCGGGACGTGCCCGGGTCGTGGACGGGCCGTGCTCCGTCAGGGGCTTAAAAAAATCCCGTTGCGTATATTTTGTATGAACTTGTTCACACATGTCCGTGTCCGGGCCGACGCCGGGATGGGCCCACAGTTCATACAAACTAGCACGCCCCAACCACGTCCCGGGCACGGCCCTGATGTGTGTGGATAGTCCTTAAGTTTGCGGGTGCAACTATACACACAACTTGTTCTTCCCATCACATGATGCTCGCAAAAAAAGCAGCAATGAGATTGAAGTAGTCAGAGACGAGGGAAAAGTTTAGACTCTATACAACCTCAAATGACTTTGGTTGATTCCGCATAACAGCGAAAGTGTTGAATCAATCGCTTTGGAAAAAATATATAGTAAAATCATTGACTTACAATTGTATGGACGTCGGGTCCGCGCTAAAAAGTGTCCGCACTTGTAAGGCGCTAAAATCGTATACAGAGCGCGACACTCCGCTTTAGTCTTCATTTGTTCTACGGACAGCGCGATACTGCGATGACATAACAATTTAAATTTCGAATAGGTTGACTTGGGACATTTTTTTCGTGGTTTTTGTATTAGACCCGTCGTCCATTTATTTGTAAGTCAATGAGTAAAATTGAGAATATACACTGATTACTATACGATGTGAAAACACGATGCTAAAAATTATCACGACAGAAAAAAACACAAACTTACCTCGAAAATGTACAAGGAAACCGCTGTCAATAGTTACTTTGCATTACATATACCTACCAATGGTTTTTTTTTTATATCAACTGAACTAAATAGAACACGTACACGATACGATAAAAATTTTTCAAACGGCTTTAATTTCCTTTGTAAAAAAAATACATTCTCAAGGTTACCTATCAGTAGTCCGAAATGACGTTTTCCAGAAATAACGTTTGCTCGAATTTTCATAACCTCGGAAGTAATTTTGAGAGGAAAATGTTTTTTTTCTTTTAAACCTAATTTAACCTAACCGAACCTAATTGTGTCTTTGCGATAAACATCCAACATATCTTGAAAGAACAACGGTTTCGTTATAATTCGGTTTTCGGTGTAATGAAAATTCGAAAAAACGTTATTTCGGAAAAAAACATTCGAGTTTGTGATAGGTTACCCATTCTGAAATAAAGCCAGTGTCCATGCCGCTCGACCTAAGCAAAATGAAGCGTATTAGTACGCGAAAATTATGAATTCGAGCTAAGGTAGTATCGACTCCAAAAATCATAAAATCCGATCCAGCCCAGTCCAGTCCACACAATAAAAATCAATTTACCTTTTCATACATACTAACTGCTGGCGAGGCCTGTTCCTTCAAACTCCTCATTTGCTCATAAGCCGTAACCACTACGGTCTTCGCGTTTCGACTTTCCTGCACCTGCTTCCTTAGCTCTATGAGATTAAAGCAGTGCTCACACAGTCTTAGACCAGTCTTTTCTGTCGCGTCTTGATCTGAACGCGAGTGTTGAGGGGCTGATGGGTCTACTATTGATCCTGTAATAATCGACATGCCACAACAAGTGAGTTAAACAATCCTTATGTTATCTAAAGCAATAAGTAATAACCTGAGTCCAATAAATGGGTAAATCTTACAAAATCTCAAAATTCTTGTCCCATAGGTTTATAAAAAAAGTATTACATTCTTGACGTGAAATTAATATTTAATATCAAATTATAATTCAAATGCTACTAATGCTTCCATAAAATATTGATAAGTCTATTTAAATAAAAATAATAATAATATAAAAATGTCCCCAATATCATTCCGTCACTATGTATATCCCAAGTTCCATAATCAAACACATTCTGTACTTTAAATTAACAAATATAACAAAAATAACCTTTAAATTTTAAACATTTGATCAAATAAAATATGTTTTTGCAAAGTTAAAACTATTCTGTGGTTCTGTGATAAATAAATGTAAAAAATGTATTATTATTAATGACCCAACCAAAAAAAATCATTCCCTCACTTTTACCTTCACTTGATTCGTGAACGCATTTTTATTCTTTAGTAAATGCATTTTGTAAGTTTTTGAAAGTTAGCAGCACTGTATGCATTTCAAAATGACGAAATTCAACTTGTATGTGTAAAAAGTTTCTAGTACGAAAAGATTTAAGTTAGAATTCTAAGCATTTGGTTTTATTCATTAATTATTCACTCCGACGAGGTATTGATAGCTGTAAGCTTCCCAAAATATTAAGTCTAAAAGTAAGTACATATATACCTATCGCTATTTTTTCTTGATTTATTTCGATTTCGTCATTCCCTCACCCTCAAAGGATCTGACTACCCTATACCACTTCTTAAAAGTAATTTATTTTGGAGACCACTATATCATCAAAAACTATTTACATGAGTACTATGAGAAATTTATAAAAAACAAATACAAATTCCTCCTAAAAATTTTCATAAATATCGAAAGCATAAATTTCGAAGATCCATGAGAACTGCCCAAATAAATATGTAATTCCAAAGACTAAGATCTATATAACCAACATTGCCTTGGTCTAAGATTGCTAACAGTTTGACTGCACGTTTGCAGTTAATGCGGGAAGTCGTAAACAACTTCATGCAGCCGAGACCTTGTGACAATGCAACCTCTTTCATCGTCATCCCACCTTTTTATTACCCTGATCTCCGGTTCCTGGCCACGTACTATGAAATTTTGAATCGTTCTTAAATTCCGAAGTGAGCTCACGTGCTCGACTTCACTTAAATTCTGACCAGTTAAATCATGTAACCTAACTGCTAGTAAAGTATTCCATTTCGTCGCCTTACTTTCTCAAACTCGTATCTTAAAGCAAAAAGTAACTCGAATGCAAAAAAATTTATTGTATATACAAATTTTGCAGGCTGGTTTCACATCACATTTCCTTCATATTCACACACTGGCTTTTACCTATTATTAAAGTAACCCATCCAAATTAACATCCTTGATAAAAAATTTAAAATAAATAAAAAGTTTTGCCATCTACTGAATAATCACTCTTTATATTTGTAGTACCATTGAAAATCTTGTAACCGAACTGCTTATAAAGCATGAAATAACAAATAACAGAAAGAAATAACAGGCCCTTTTGGGGTTCTTTTACCATAACCTTTATTTAATTTAAGCAGGGAGTATTTTTATACGTTTATACTTGTTTTTATATCATTGTTTTGTTACAGCATCGAGTATATAACCAGAAATAGAGACGAAATGTCATTTAATTTGTTTGAAAACTATTCTGCCAAATCATTACGGTGACAACCCGAACTTTTGCCTGCCCGAATTCGAAACAATTGACGGGTATCGTCAATTCGTCGTATGCTCACCTGAGCATGTCCTATAACTTTGTCAAAACCACCATTTTGACAAAGAAATTATAACATGAATTTTAGTTTAGAAAATTTAAAACAATACATTAATAAAATTAGTGCACAAAGTAGTATTTTTTTTATTACTTACTTATTTATTTCTATTTTGTTAACCTCAACCCATTAGTCACCTTCTAAAATAATTTTTATTCCTCATAATTTAGAGAATTTCAGAAATGTAAGTAGATCCCAGTGGTAAAGGGTCCATTTAACATGATTCTTAATAGATTTGTCTGTCCTAAGAATTTTACTATCTGAGTATTGAATGGTAATTTTTTTGCATTGCAGCATTTGCACCAGTCATGCTGCTGCTATAGCATTCTGTATGTACTGTCAACATAAATGATTAACATTAAAAAAATTCAGTTACATTTTGACTCCTGTACACATAAGACCTATACAAAGTATGGAACTTGGTAATATTGAAAATTTAAAACCAAAAATTAATAGGCACTTTTTAGGTTTGCCATTAAGTGAGATGATTGTTTAATGTTTTTATACTTAAAAAAAGTTTTGTAAACTGTTTGAAATAATACTTACTAGCTATATTAATATCTAAGAAAAGCGAGCAGTCATGACACAGTATGGACCCGCATAACCGGCAATGATGTTTCCTCCTAGTCAAATTGAAAGCCTTTGCACAGTTCGGGCAGAGTTTTACAGATGATCCATCGAGCCATGGTACAATCTAAAAAATTAATAGATGCAATATTGTGAATAATCTGTTGATTTAATTTTGGTTTAATATTTGTTTTTTAGTGTCATATATTCATAATATACTACTTTATTATTTATTCACCAAATTGAGTTTCTTTTATAGTTATATATAAGGGTGTAGTCACTCTAGCTGCTGCAAAATAGCAATTGATATGCTGTTGGTGTGTGTTGTGGTGTGCTTTCTTATTGCTGTTTTCAGTGTCTTGGCTGCCCTAGGCCCCAGGCCATGTAATCAGTACCAAGCCCCTTTCTCAGCGCTCATATACCTACTGGTAGACATATCTATATTTTATAAATTAAATGCACGAAAGTGATTTAGGAAGATTATAGTTATAAGATGCGGTGCAGAGCGGGCTGCCATAATGTGCATGAGCCTTTAAAATATTTAGGTACTTGTGAGTTATTTCTTGTTACCATCAGTGAATTTTTTGTCACGATAGGCCACCCCCGAAAATCTGGCCGCCCTAGGCCCGAGTCTAGGGCAAATCCGCCACTGGCTGTTTTGCAGTTGTGTTGCAGTGGGGAATACCACCCTCGTGATTATGCACTTACCTGTAGGGGTAGCAGGACAAGGTGTGACATAGTAGTGTAAAATATTGTTATTCTCTATGCAAAAATAACAATATCTCACTCTTTACATCACTCCCATGCTAGTTGCGTCCTGTTGTGCTAGCCCTACTGGTGTAAGGTTTTTTTTTTAGATGGTGTAGCTCAGTTAGAAAAAATAATAGAATAGAGTCAACTGTAACATAATAAAATTAATTTATAAATGAAGAGCAGGGGAACAAAAACCAAAAAGTAACATTTTGACTTGTTCTTCTTTTTTAATGGCAAATGGTAGTTTTTATATGTTTCTATGAATAATTTATCCAACCTGAACAACCGCTAAAGCCTTCTTCAAAAACGACAAATCCATTCAAAGAGAAAAGAAAAAATTAGAATCGTAATTAATCAGATTGGTTCTTGTTCCCAATCTCCTCAATTTTAACACTGACATCTAATCATTTGATATAATATTGGATTTCAATTATAGACACTATGAATCATGATTACATACATGATACTTTGCCCTATCCAATTGTTAAACAGCAAAAAATTACTTACTTCCTGCTCATACACTTTCCTCTGGCCAGGGTCACTAGGCATGTTACAAACTAATTTATCGAGTCTGATTAACAGTTTATTTGTCTCTGTAGCGTAGCGCTCCAGTCTCGCTGACCTCACACGTTTTAAATATTCGGTAGAGCTCCGACTTACACCCACACTTTGCACCTCATCGGGATAATAATATTGTTCTTGATAGTTAAATTTTAAAGCACGGTCGAACGTTTCCTTTAACTCCGTATCATCTTTATTTAATATTATCTTCTTGGCCTTCCCGAAAACGTCTTTTAATGATCTTAAAACATCCTGGTCTTCAGAGTGGAGGCTTTCAAAGTGGCTAGTAAGTTGGCTTGCGGATTTTAAGTCCGCTTTACAAATAGGGCAAAGGAATCCTTCTAGAATCTCTTCTTCGTTGGCTGCCGCCATGATTGTAGCGACAGTTACTACCACCTGCACATTGCAATTATCGAACGGTTATAGATAATTTACGTGAAAAGATTACTAAATACACCCTTTCCCATACTAACACAGACCAATAAAGCACTAATTAATGCGTTTTGTTGTTGTTCCTAAACGTCATTCAATAAATAATAGTATCCAAATGAAATAATATATAAAATAAATAAAAATGAAATAAATATAAAATGAAATAGGCATTATGACTACACTAACATGTATTGTATACGGTTATTTAAACATAATAAAAATGATTTAATTAGTCACATCGTCACATGACCGCATCAGTGTTTTAGAAAAATTGCAAACAATCACCTAGCTTGTAACAATAAAACGCAAACGTCAGTAACAGTGTTGTCATAAAAACGTTTTTATTTTCTGCTAAGGCCTTTTTTTTAATGGTAATTTGGTAATTTCCTAATTTTAACAACCAGTGTGACCACCGATTTTGTGAGAAGTTTTTAAGAGGCATAGGATTAGAAGAGTAAGAATAAAACTTAAGTTTACATAATTGATTTCATATATTCAGTAACATCATTAAAAAGTTGTTTTAACTCTTCAAGATGAGTCTTTGTTTCGGGCCAGTCTTGTTTTTCTGCAGCTCTGATGACGGCCTGGCCGGTCAAACGGGCGGAAGAAATTTGCTGGTCGGCCTGCAGTTTTTCTTTATCTTCGGCCCCTTGACGAGCTTTTAGGCTGTATTCAAGAAGCGACTGCGTTAATTCTATCACTTTCTGGCATGTGTTCGGACTGTTGGGCCATTTGCCACTCTGCAAAAAGTATTATTTTTTAACAGGCTAGCGACAGGTAAAATGTTCATAATCTTATTTTTTCTCAAAATGCGGGGATTAAAAAAATAGTACCTAACCACCCAATAAGTGTTTTTAGCGTATGAATTTATGATAATGCTAGCCGTGGTAATGATTTGACCTATCGCCTCTGAAGCACAGAGTCGTGGGATCGAATCCAGGCTTGCGCCTCTGAGTTTTCGGAATTACGACGTGAAATTTTAATTTGAAATTTAACATGAGCTTTTCGGTTTCCAATTAGTTTTGGACATTTGGATAGCGCTACATGAAGTGTATATCACCATCCCGCTTTTTTGTCGTTACGAACCTATACTGAACTGTAATAAGAGTTCATAGTAAGGCCCCTGTGCCCAACAGTGGGACTATGAAATGAAATGTTGCTTTATTTTCTCTTCACAAATATGCTTAAAGGAACATATAGGTTAAAACAAGATTGGTCATGCTGTTTTGTGAGAGACTGGTATCCGAGATAGGTATCGAAAAACCTGTATTACTATTGAATATAGTATTGTTCACCAGGCTTCCATGAGCAATATGGTTGTGACACAGGAGAAAAATTAATTAAAGTATACAAATATTCCTAACTTATTATAAAACTAGTGGTGAACTAACCTAAGTAATTAGTTCCACTAAGAACTCTAATAATCTCACTATATGTAAAGAGTGAGGATGAATGAGTGTTTATGTGTGTTACTGATTAGGTGCATATTATAAGACTATTATTTTTTATTATGAATTTCTCTAGCACATTAAATAATAAAAAACGTACCAAAGTATACGCCTTATACGCTTTCATCAACCGCTGAGCCTTTAACAAGTAAGTAGGACTGATATCGGCATACAATTGCCATATGTCCGGTTTGTTCTGATGTATTGAAGTTATTCTTCCAAACAGTTCTAGTACTTTTTTGTGTAACCTAGGGATAAAAATAGTAATACATTTAAAGCAGTAGCTTTTGTTGCATATTGTTTCAGTGGTTAATTTTATTTATTTTGGTAGGATAGAATAATCTATACAGAGTACTACAAAAACCGACCTCAAAAGAAGAATTACACCTACTTGCCAAGTTTTATTGAAAACAGTTACCGGAAAATGCACGAAGCCGGAAATCATTCCCTAGTTAGCTACCCTTAGAGGTGGAATATTTTCTTCAAGTTTAAATGAGACCATTGTTGAGGTACCCTCTTTCCAACAAAAAAGAACCACCAAAATCTGTTCATAAATTCGGAGTTATCGCGTAAAATACTTACAAAAAAAACATTCAGTCGAATTGTGAACCTCTTCCTTTTTTTGAAGTCAGTTAAAAAGTACAAAGTACTGAACCCTGACTATAGTTTGACCGCTGAGAGAATGCGTTCCTGACAGGTCGTGATCGAACGGCCGACATAACTTTGAAGAATTTACGATAAAAATATTTTTATCGTTTATATGCATTATGCACTATTGATACAAAATTTAATTAAAATTCATAGTAGAACGTCAATCTATAATAAACTATAATAGTTTAGCTTTAAATTTTATGTCTAATGTATAATAAATAAGTATGTTTTTAGATCAGTACTACGTTGTTTCAAGGTTACCTCAATTGGCTATTTTTGTAGTGATGTGGTAAACAATACCATCTTTACAGTACAGTATAACTAATATAACGCGAAAAAGAACTATTTATAATACGTGCAAATTCAATACGGCAAAAAGAACGACCGCCGAGACATTGCGTTCCAACTGACATGTGTCAGGAACGCATTCTCTCGGCGGCCGAACTATAGCCCACATGACATCGCTCGTCTAGTGTTACCATTTTCATTTTAGATTTATTAGCACAACATGAGAACAGCAAAATAATGGAATTTTAGGGATTATGACATAAAATATACTATAATATTATGACAAACACATGCGACAATTGTGTCGCATGTGTTTGTCGTTGACCATAATAAATAGAAGGGGATCCAAAACTGCACCTTGACTGACTCCTACAAAATGTCCAAACTTACCCCGCACTGCTATTACCATCAGCGTCTTTTTCGTCCTTCACAATAGCACGTACAAGTAAAGATAACACTTCTACGTCATCCAGCTTGTGCTGCAGATCCAGCATGCGATGGCATCCCCGTATGACGTCATCGAAATGGCCGGTGTCCATGCTCACTATTATTACATTTTCCCATAACTAGAAACCAATAACAGATTTAAAAAACTGAGAAACTTTAAATTTTGTTATTATTACCCGAGTTGTTGAAGGTACCATCAAGGTATATAGGAAGTAGGTATACAACCAGAAATAGAGACGAAATGTCATTTAATTTATTTTAAAACTATACTGCCAAATCATTACTGTGACAACTGCGCTCCGATTGGCCAGTCAATTGTAACACTTCAAATCCACCAGTTTAACTTGAGCTTTGCTATAATGGACGAAAATCGAAAAATTACATATTTAATTAACGATGAAATGTGATTCCGTTTGTTTTGTAATTAGATGTTTTGCTGTTTTTCCCACATCACCGAATGGAACAGCCCTCATAGTTAGAGATATTATCTTTATTACAATAAACACAGAATATTTTTCACAGGCCAGTTGTTGGCGCTGTACTATTTCAGCTTTCGAATTTGCGATTTCAGTGCAAACGAGAGTTGGTATTTAAAAGTAATATAAGGCCCGTTTGCCCGATGAGTTGCCTGGGATAGATGGCCCTTATTTCGTCTCTATTTCTGGTTATATACTCGATGTGTGAAGTTGAATGAGGTTGGAAGAATTTATATATATTTTTATGATACTAAGCTATGGGACGAACAAGTCGTGCGCCGGGTGTTAAGCGACACGCCTGTCAATAGCAGTTGCAGTGCCAATCAGAGCTTTAAATAACGCGCACATACTCATAGCCGCGCACTAACGAAACCCTGTATCGCAGGTGCCATGGACACACACATAGACAACCACAGATTACACCCAAACTTCATGAGAGAAATAAATATAAGCCGTACAAATACTTCTCTCAGCCCAGTAATCGAACCCGGGAGGGATAACCGTTCGACAACGGAGGCAGTTAAATCGCAATAATCTGAGGGACATTGCCACTACGCCCGTCACCCTGAGATAAGTTGACAAGTCCCATGTGCCTGTAATTTCACCAGCACTTACCCTTCAAAACCGGAACGCAGTAATGCTCACATTACTGCTTGGCGGCAAAAATAGGTAAGGTGGCAGTACTTCCTTGGATGAACTATTTGACAAGGATCTCTACTGCTACTCAAATTTTCGACTAAAATGTTTAATGTTTTGTTATTTAAGTGGAATATCCTAAATATATTTATTGTGTTAATAGTAACATGTTAATAGTACATTGTGTACGGTAAATAAGAAATTAACAACGAGGGCCTATTAGAAGCCCGAAGCCAAAGGCTGAGGGCTTTAATAATTCGAGTTTTGCCGTTTTTAACGTTCGTGACATATTAAATATTTTTCATCACATCATCATGATCGTTCAGCCTTACGACGCCCACTGCTGGGCATAGGCCTCCCCTGACGATCTCATTTGCGAGGAAATAAATAAAATATAAATATTGTTCACAACACAACAATTATGGATTTAGCAAAGGGGGGTATTTTGTTTTTTTACATTCTTCCTTAGATAATACAATTCGACCTAAAATGTAAACAGCAAACACGCAGCCATGATGGATCGTAAAATAAAATTTGGCAAATTTTTATGCAGAAAATAATTAAAATCAATTATAAGAAATTCTTATATAATAAGTGTATAAGAAATGACTGAATTGCAATTACATTTCTGTTTAGATAACATTTTAAGCGAACGTTTTAATTTTGAACATAAGTAACCACCTTGCTTGAATTGCACCTGACCTAGGTAAAAATATACTGTGCTACAAACTAAAAAAAAAACCCTTAACGACCATGGACGCAATGGAAAAAAACGGTCCGTGGGTTTTATTTGGTACATTATAAGCAAAATAGCCACCGTGCAATCATACTCTCTCCGTGGCCGAACGGTTACCATGCCGGACTGCCACGCAGAGGTCCCAGGTACGATTCCCGGGCCAGGAGAACTATTTGTATGGCCTACATTTATTTCTCTCGTGAGTTTGGGTGTAATTTGTGGTTGTCTATATGTGTGTCCATGGCACCCGCGACACAGGGTTTCCCTAGTGCGGGGCTATGTTGAGTGTGAGCGTTATTGTTATTATTATTATTATACCATTCACGAGCAAGTGTGATGAAAATAAAATAGTTACCTTCCAATTATCATAATTAAATCTCAGCGCTTCCATCAAAGCTCTGTACGCTCGGTTCTTATCACCCTGTTTCACGTAAACTTTGGCTAGATTATTCCAGGCCTCAAAAGAGTTCGGTTGCAAGTACGTGTAACGGCGGTACGCCTTCGCAGATAAATCCCAGTTCTCCACCATTAGAGCTGCGAAGCTGTAACGTACGAGAGGACACCCAATTAGTTCTAATTGTTTAAACAATTGTATAAAAAATGTATAAGACTTTTGTATAACGATAATAACTTTAATATGACACTTAAATCTGTGTGGTTATGCAATACAATAGCAGTAATAAGGGTTGTCATCATTTGTAAATTTAAAACTATTAAATCCATTTCGATTTTGTAGTAATGATATATATCACTTTCCATTATATTTTATTTATCTTATAACTTTCTATTAAATTTCTCTCCTACGGGTGTCTGGAAGAAATTGCTACTTAACAATAAGGCCGAATTGTGTATTAGTTTATTCTGTGATTCTTAGAGCCTAAACACACGGCGTAATTTATATGCGCCGACGACGTGCGTATAAATTACTCGCGCATTTTGATAAAAGACAGTTTTAATTTTAGTTCTGTTTGTTAATTACAGTTAGTTTTTTGAAACGAAGCAACTGCATGAAATTGTAAGTGTAAACTCCAGTGGAGTATATAAGCTTCTTCGCTACAGTGCGTCTACGGCGCATATATCGACCCCTCCTACGTAAAGTATCGTATGTCGAAATTGCCAAGTTTTCAGGGGAGCGTTTTAAAGTTTTGAATCCACTGAAATGAGCACACACGTGGCTTTAGCATTTCTCAGTTCCATTCGGCGAATCTCGTTACTCACATAGAGTGATCATCGTAGATCATCCAAGATATCTAGGATTTTATAATACTCTATTTGAGTACAAGCTTTGCCGAATAAAACTGCGAAATGCTAATCAAATATAATACTCACTTCAGTGAATTGAGATTTAAGACGCTCCCCTGTAAACTTGGCAATTTCGATATATGATACTTTACGTAGGAGGGGTCGATACGTGCAGATGACGCGCGTATACACACAGATTACGCGCGTTTACGGCGCTTATAAAATACGCCGTGTGCATAGGCTCTTGCATTACTGTTCTGGGTAGTCGTTGTAGGTTTTAATGTGCACTAATTAATTCATTCATTCGCTTTTATAATTTATATAGTGTAATTTGTTTCAAACATAGGCGAAGATCAGTATAGGTTAGGCATATATAAATTATTTCTTCTGATCTAGTAAAGTGAGGGAAGTATATTTCGCGTAGCGAGACTAAAGTAATACATTTAAGTATTTTCAGAATCAGTTAAAAAACTTAAAACATTTAATTTTCATTAAACACGGCATGATAAATATACCTCACTCTTTCATTACACCTCATTCTTTTTGTGACACAAACATATTATTATTATTATTATTTATTTGTTAAGGATTGACTCTATAGATCCATCAGCATAAACAAATAATTAAGACCTACAAAAACTCGCCATATTTTTCTATACAAACATAAATTTGTAAAAAATGCAATGGCGTGTGAAAGCTTTGATAAATTTTCACTTCATATATTTTTTTACTGCATAAAGTGAAAAGCTGGGTTTTTAACTCGTTTTTGAAACTCATTCAACTCTCGAACGATAGCCTAAATATATGTTTACATCCTTGTTCAACAATCTGTACTCTCTTTTTTTTTCGCACAGATCTAATTGTCATTTAACTCACCCCAATCTCAACCAGACGCTTTCCTGAATAGAGTTGATCTCAACCGACTTTTCGTAATGCGGTATACACTCTTCATAATTCTTGTGGTCAAACAAAAAATTGCCCCAATGCCTTTGCGCCCTACTGCTTTTATGCTCAGAGAAATCCCACGCTTTTTCGTAGCACGATACGTCATCTAAAATTTGAAATATATAATGCAATATGAAGTTTGATCCATAGTATCTGTGTTACCCACAAAGATTTTTTTTCATAATATCAAGTGACGGGACGAACAGGTCGTGCGCCTAGTGGTATGCAACACGCCTATGCATAGCAGTTGTAATGCCGCTCTGAGCTTCAAATCGTAAAGATCTGAAACGCACTGTCACTACGCCCGTCACCCTGAAACATAAGTTGACAATTCCCATGTGCCTGTAATTTAACCAATACCCTTACCCTTCAAAACCAGAACGCAGTAATGCTCACATTACTGCTTGGCGGCACTTCACATAGGCAAGGTGGCACTACTTATCTGGACGAATTCTTTCACAGGTAGCTCTACTGCTACTATTTATATAGTAGCAGTAGAGCTCGTTGTGGAAGAGTTTGTTGTTCTTGTTTATGTGTTGTTGTCAACATGTTCGTCCCGGAACTTGATATTATAAGAAAAAGACAGAAACGTGATTTACTTTGGGGAAATGCCTCAGACGTTAATAGAATCTTACGTCCTGCTGACGTACGCAATTAGAACAATTTACACACAGGGCCTTAGAGTATATCTAACATTGAAGAAATAAACATTCTTACACCAATGTCAAAGTTAAATTCTGTTTACTTAAATAGTAATTATTTCATCAAAAATATTGACAGACAATATTAATATGAGAAACAATAAGAACCTGGCTGCACTTGACAATCGTCTAGATAACTAAGATAGTTTGAAATAAATATTGTATAAGATAAATGTCAAGAAATATATATTTACAAAGAGCAACCCATCGAGTTTCTTACTCGTTCTTCTCGGGGGAATCTGCCTTACGAATGTGTTGTAGTATTCAGTCATCAATATAAAGACATATTGAATTTGAATTAGTAGAGTTTCCACTCACCTGTTGCATCTCCAAGTAGACAATACAGTTTTACTGTTGGCTGAATATCTATTTGCTGCCGTATTACTTCCGCTGCCTAAAAATTTGCAAAGAGAACAATAACAACAAGTAATATATTATATTTAACATTGCTGCAAGTAAATACATCTTATTTTTAAATTTATACCAAATATATTATATGGATACCAAATATGTGGATGAGCAGACGTCATCGCGATCTATGCAAGAATCCAAGGGAATAAGGTCTCATAGGTTATTTTAAATGTACCTCAACGAAACAAATGCGTGTTCTAATAGTCAAGATATTTTGTTTTTATTTTTATGAAGAACATTTTGCAGTTGGCCGCGCATGACTTTAAACTGTTAAAGTCATGCGCGGCCAACTGCAAAATTGGCACTGGCCAAAGAACAAAAGAAACTCGTAATGGTCAGGATATTCAAAATCACTCAATACTTATTAAAATTTCGATAACATTTCGAAAGCGCGTTTTAAAAAATCCAAAAGCGGTTCAATACCGTCTAGCGGCATCGTACCCATACCACATTACATACATAGATCAATATTTATGTCAATAAATTGATATAAGTATTAATAGTTTTTTTTGAAGAAACCTACACTGTTCAGACAAAAAGTCACCAATAAATATTGATGACTTTTTATTACTATCTGCGAACGCCTTTGTGGTATCTAAAAAACATTTTACACCTAGTTTGTAATAATGAATAGTACAAAGATCGAATATTAAGAAAAAATACCTTCCATCCGTCTGGATTCGAACCAACGTCTTCCAGCAAACAAAATGGCAAGAAAGTCGTTAAAAAACAAAACTGCAAGAAGCGCATAGAAAAATTCGTAAGGTCCGCTAGTTCGTTCCATGGCTTAACTGGCATAGCGTCTGACACGGTTCGCTGGAAGACGTTGGTTCGAATCCAGCCGGATCGGAAGAATTTTTAGTTAGTGTTCCATGTTTGTATTAATGATTTAGTACAAACTAGAGGAGTAATTTCAGAAAAATAATTAAATATTATGGTAGTCAAACATTGTGACATTAAAAAAAACTTTAGTTTAGCCTGCTGAAACGCATGTGATAAAATAGTTATTTTTAATACAAGTGCGGAAAGTTAGTCATTAGGAGGCTTCTTGAGACAAGTGAAAATGACAAACCCGCACGTGTATCAAACGACGTTTTTTAATACATTTGCGAAAAAACTACATTGAAAGTAAAAACTAGAAAATAAAACAGTATTTAAAAAAACCTCATTTTATTTCTTTGACTGATAAAAATTCAGAGTACAATGGCAACTGTTGCCATTATTCAGCCACATTAAAAGTATTATAGCGCGCAGCGGTCCGTCGTAATACTCACCTCAGGTCATTGTTAATACTCAATCAGCCATCTTTACGGAAAATATTTTGGTATTTTTAAATGTAACCCGTTGTTTTATAAAACACCTATGCAATTTAAACAAATAAGATGTTTGTAAGTAAATATAAGTTTTAATGACGAATGAGAAATAGAGACGAAATGTTATTTAATTTGTTTGAAAACTATTCTGCCATACCATTACGATGACAACTGCGCTCTGATTGGCCAGCCCGAATTCGAAACAATTGACGGGCATCGTCAACTGTTTCACTTCAAATCTGCCAGTTTAACTTGAGCTTTGCTCGAATGTTGAACAATTACATATTGAGTATTTAATTAACGATGAAATGTAATTCCGTTTGTTTTTTAATTAGATGTTTTGCTGTTGTTCCCACACCACCGAATGGAACAACCCCCCATATTATCCTTATTACAATAAATACAGAATATTTTTGGAATATACGGAGACGTACACACAGGTCAGTTGTTGGCGCTAACTATTTCAGGTTTCTAATTTGTGATTTCAGTGCAAACGAGAGTTGATAATTTAAAAGTGATATAAGACCCATTTGCCTGATGAGTTGCCAGGGAGGGATGGCTCTTATTTCGTCCCTATTCTGGTTATATACTCGATGGATTTGCTTAATTTGTATTAAGATTACTTCAGTGGCCCAGCAGTCAGCAATGTGGGCGCTAGGCAAAGTAGGGGCCACTTCCCGGTGGAGTTTTACCTTGTGCCTCAACTGCAAGCAGGTGTAACAGACAATGACATCCTCCCATAGTTGCAAGATCTGGTATTCTTCCAGCGCTGCCTTTACCAGCCCTAAGCTGAGGTATAGGTCCGCGAGCTGCTGCCGCCACGTCCAAGCTGGTTGTAGACCAGACGCCCAGATATAGGAAAGTCTACGTGGACAAAAAAGATTGTGAAATGCACATTGATTTACAAATAAATGGACGACGGGTCTAATACAAAAACCACGAAAAAAATGTCCCAAGTCAACCTATTTAAACGTAGTGACATGTAAAGGAATATGAAAAAGCTAAAACGTTGAATTTATATTGTAATGTCATCGCAGTACTGTCTAATTTTGCTTGCTTCGCTGTCAGTCGAACAAACGAAGACTAAAGCGTGAATGACGCTCTGTATACGATTTTAACGCCCTATAAGTTCGGACACTTTTTAGCGCGGATCCGACGTCCATATAATTGTAAGTCAATGGAAATGCAGGATACTTTTAGCCGAACTTATTGATAAAATCGCCAATAGCCCACTTTACACAGTCAATCTATCAGGAGCACACAGAATTTCTCGCGGGAAAGCCTGCACACGCAATCGTGCGCGATTACCTGTTTGAAATTTTTTAAGCTAACGTCCTTTCGTGTGCGTTTGTTCGTGTTCGTTTTTGTTACAACGAAAGGAACGTCCGTGAAAAGGCTAATACACGCTAATACTGCTTGGCGGCAGAAATAGGTAATGTAGCAGTGCTTCCCTGGACAAACTCTTATGCTTATGATAGCTTAGGTAAAAAAAAATATCGCATCAATTTGCTGCTTTGGTGTATACAGCAAAAACATTAAATTGTGGCCTACATTACTCACTCTAGGTGTTAAAATCAGAATCTAACCTGCTACATGGAGCAACAGCTTTCTTATCATTGACTATAGTCTCACATTGCAGCATAGCTCTTTCCACAGTTCTCTTATGATTGGCTTCAAGCTTGCAGCGGACCAGTAAAGCAGCCACCCGCGTAGACCATGGACCACTCTTTTGAGATACTATTGCCTCAATGTAGGGCTGAAGTTCTTCCGTCGTTAGGTCATCTTTGGGTTGTGATTTTTGAATGTATTGACTGGAATAATTTTTTAAATTAAAGTTGGTCATTAACAGTCTACGCGCTGTCACGTCTTCTCAGTTGTAGTATAACATGGCGTAAAAACTTGGACCCTTTGGTAACAATAAAGAAAATGGAATCTTTTGAAATATGGGTTTACTATCGTACCTTGGAATATCGTAGCCAGACCAAATTACAAATGTAGTACTTAATAAGCTAAAGAAAAAGGTGGAGCTAATGAATACTATTAAGCACAGGAAGGAACAATAAATACAAATTATTCTAGTTTATCGTCCAGGGCAAAAACGCCTGAAAACAAAGTGTCGGCAGAAGGCGGTTACAAATTTTGAGAGCATGGTTGATGGCCGGTGGTAGAGTGACAACAGATTGTCGTGCAGTTTACAGTGTCGTGGTTTGTATATTTAAACGAAGTTGTTCACATATAGCACGACACGATTAACTGTCGTTCACGATTTTTTATCGTTACAACGACAAACTGTCGTCACAGTGGGAACAGCTAGAACAACAGTCGTCAGACGATAAAAACGTGACGACGCGACAGATTGTCGTAGCTCCTATTGTCGTCACGTTCTAGTGGGAACAGCTAGTCACGACAGTCGTTTAACGATAAAAAATCATCCACTACAGATAGTCGTGATATGGGAACAGGCTAGACACGACAGTCGTTCAACGATAATAAAACGTGACGACATAGTGGGAACGCGCCCTTAAAGTCAGGATTGGCATGATGTTGTTCAACCTCCGATAGGGGAGGAACCCCAAGAAGAAGAACATTGAACGTATTTTGTGAAGTATACATGTAACAACAATGCGCAGTGTTAACTTTCCCCTTTAACCTTCTAAATTGAAATTCATAATGAAACTTCAAATCCAATATTATGTAACAACACCTGTACCGAATTGTTTTGAATTGAAACACCCCCAGGAAAAGTAGATTTCAATGTCTATAGGCAATTGTAGTATTAACCCTTTGACCGCCGCAGACGCTTTAAAGTGTCACACATTAACTTGGCTGATACGCCAATGACGCATTAAAGCGTCAATGAAATCCTTTAATTTTCAATTGAAATTATGCATATTCTAGTTAAGTATGGGTCCATAGTTGCACTTTACGTTCAGTTATGTTCTTCTTTGACTTAGGAGAATTGAATTAATATTGGACGGAAAATCATAACATGTCACATCACTATATAGGTTTGACGTCTAGGGAACGAAACTAGCTTTTTGTCAGTGGCGGTTAAAAGGTTAAGAAAGATCCCATAAATTTGCGTATCCATTGGCTGGAATCCGGAAGTGGTCGCTAAACGGTTTCATTAAATGTGTCACTAAACTTACATAGTTAACAAACAAAGTGTCTGCTCCAAACTCGGCAATTCAGTTTGATTGATCTTCTCGTTATATTCAATCTTGTTTAGCCTCACGTCGTCGTGCAACTCTACATCAAGAGGCAGTTCTGAAGCGCTGTGGCTTTCCTCTGCTGATGGCCGTGACGTTTCAGTGTCTAATGAACTGGATAGTGCTAATTGGGGCAGAGCAGTTTGTTGGAACCTCGTTCTTTTTCCAAGTATACCTAAAATTATTTATTATTCTATTTGTAATTCAGAATTATAGGAGTTTTACAAAGGGAGTTCATAACTCATTTAAGCGGGGAACATACAGAGAGCGGGTGCGGGTCGAGCACGGGTCGGGGCGGGGCCGCGGCGGGTCTAATTTCGTGTATTTATATCGGTGTGTTATCGTCCATACCTAACTAAAGTAATATTGATTACATACTAGTAACATACATCAAGTGCGCTAGGTCTGTAAGGTTTCGTCTTTGAATATTCTACAGCGGCCCGCTGCCAGCTGACCAAAAAAGGCTTCAACAAGGCAAACTGAAAACTACTAGGCGAGCAGTTTCGCCTCCGGATCCCCGGAAGCCAGGGTTTATTATTTCTAATGTCCCTGATTATCAATGACGTACAAAGGATGTAAAATATAATTAAATAGCAAAACATGCTCAAGTTGAGTGAAGAAATAGATTTCTCACAGATGGTGCTATGGCAGAAAAGTCGTTAAAAATAAAAAACAAAGGTCTGCAACAAACACATAAAACAATTCGTAAGGACCGCTGGTTCGTTCCATGGCTTAGTTGGCATAGCATCTGCCACGGTTTGCTAGAAGAGGCTGGTTCGAATCCAGACGGATCGAAGGAATTTTTTCTAAGTGTCCCATCTTTTTATTAATAATTATAAACTCAGTACAGAGTACTAAAAAAACCGACCTCAAAAGTAGGTGGAATTACGTCAATTTGCTAAGTTTTATTGAAATATCCTTAAATTCGCCACTATACAGGATTGGACACTTGAGATAATAAAAATCGGTTCTCACTACTCAAAGAACATTGAGAGAAAAACGCCTTCAATTGGAGAAATTGCAAAATGAACCATTAAAATAATTGCTCCTTAAGAAAATTTAGGCGCTATTTACATTGACTTACAAATAAATGGACGACGGGTCTAATACAAAAACCACGAAAAAAATGTCCCAAGTCAACCTATTCGAAATTTAAATTGTAATGTCATCGCAGTATCGCGCTGTCAATCGAACAAATGAAGACTAAAGCGGAGTTTGGCGCTCTGTATACGATTTTAGCGCCTTACAAGTGCGGACACTTTTTAGCGCGGACCCGACGGCGACGTCCATATAATTGTAAGTCAATGGCTATTTATAAAAATGAGTCTTCAGACTATATCTTTTTTTTTTGTATGTATGTTACGCGATAACTCCGGTATTTCTGAAACGATTCTCATGATTCTTTTTTTGTTGGAAAGGGGGTACTTCCATAGTGATCCCATTTCATTTTGAAGAAAATCATCCACCTCGAAGGGTGGCTGTTCACGCATGAAGGTTCATTTTTATAAATAGCGCCTAACTTTAATTTAGAAGCAATTACTTTAATGGCTGATTTCGTTATTTCTCCAATTCAAGGCGTTTTTCTCTCGATATACTTTGAGTAGTGTCGTAGTGAGAACCTATTTTTATTATCTGGCGTGTCAAGTCCTGTATAGTGGCGAACTAGGGGATATTTCAATAAAACTTAGCAAATAGACGTAATTCCACGTACTTTTGAGGTCGGTTTTTTTAGTACTCTGTACTGATTCAGATTTACAATCTGTAGTATGGAGATTAGCAGTCCTCTATGCTTTTGTTCACAGCCAAATACATTGGATACCTTTTTTAATAAACTCTGTACGAACATTTTGCGTGTTCTTACTCTAATCAATTCTCTATAATTACTTTAAGAATTAATAGTAATATTTTAATGTTTATACACTACAATTATAGTCTTGTTACGTTTTTTATACTTCTGACAATAACTGCTCTGTAAGACTGGGAGTAAAATATCATACTATGGTCAGCATGTAAAATAGGCACTACAGTAACAAATTGGAGAAATCAGCCCATTATAATGATGTGATGAACAAGTCCTGGGCCTGTTGGTAAGTGACATGCCTATCCATAACAGTTGCAGTGTCACTTAGAGCTTTAAAAATCTTAAGGGCACTGCCATTGTGTGCTATAAACCATACTATGCTATGGTAAGGAACTTGTAAAAAAGGACAATATTGCTATGAAGACTTACCAATCAACTCCAATCTCAATCCTGCTACTTCACGAGCCTTAATCAAATACTCCTCGACCTTCTGTACCCTTCCATACAGCAGATACGCCTGCGCAATCTCCATGCATAACAATATCTGCAACCTTTTAGTGCTCAAGTTTTGTAGCTCGTTAGTTAGTTTGGCAATTAGCAATTCTAACTCTGAATATATAGAAGCACTGGTGTCTTCTAGAGCTCTTTGATGGACTACTTTGCTTCTGAATGTCCACCAGAGGAAGAGCTGCAATAAATGATTAGTCTACAGATCTGACTATTCAACCCTATAATTGTGGGTACCTACCCTGGTTTGATTCTGTCAATATAGAAAGGAAATATCTTATATCAGCTTTTAGGCTGCATTCTGGTCACATTCCAAGTAATAAATTCTTTCATATGATGGGTTTTAAGCCATCCCCATTGTGCAGTACTTGCAATAAAATAGAGGATCTGTATCATGTATTGGTGGGGGGAACATGTACAGTGTTTGGGAATGTAAGTTTATGCAATGGACAAATTAATTGTTGGCTCAGAGAGCCAGTATGTATTGAAGCTCTAAACTTGTACAAGTGTTTGGAAATGTCCCTTGAGTAGGAAACGCAGTATTCCTCCTTTGAGGCAGACATAGTCACTCAAGGTAGCTAGCTAAAGCCTCAATAAAAAATAGATTAAAAAAAGCCCTATAATTAAAGTACCATGTGGAGGGCAACAGAAAAGTGTTGTTAGCAAACAAAAGTATGGAAGGCAGCGTTGGCAGAAAAAGGGTACTCACTAAATGATTATTGCCAATTCCAGATTTCTTACTACAGTATGAAATATTGGGTAAACAAAACAATCATAATCATACCATGGTAAGAAACTTGTATAGTGATAACACTACATAACAAATTTTCAAAAAGGATCTGTTTCTGCTTAATTCTCCTCCTGAAAGTCTGATTTTATGGCTGTCACAGTGGTATTTATTATAGCTAAGGTGGTGCTGGTGAAATTACAGGCACATGGGACTTGTCAACTTATGTCTCAGGGTGCAGTGGCTGTGCACCTCAGATCTTTGCGATTTAAAGCTCAGAGTAGCACTGCAACTATCACGGACAGGCGTGTAGCTTACCACCAGGCGCATGACTTGTTTGTTCCGTCATTTGAAACCATAAAAAAGCTACCTATATAGTGGATTAAAATAATCTCACAAAACTTCACATTTCTAAGTTCCCTTCCCTAATCCCCTCAATGTTCCCTTTTTTCCAAATTTCAACTTTTCGTTGTGCTGACTAAGAAAGGAAGTTTTTGTAACAAAATTAAGTTCTTTCGTAGTTTTATGTTAGGACCAATTAGAAAATGATATTGATGGCCTAGAAAAAAAAAATTGTGTTACATGGTAGTATTATGATATGGTTTAATGAAGTGGTCTGGTTTCTCCAACTGGTTATCATAGCATCAATTTTGCATCATATTGATGCAGAGTAGAAGGTATTTACCACTAAATATAGTCAAGATTTAACCTCTTGAGTTTAAGTAACTAATAAATAACTAACTAATAACCTATAATAATGTACTAAGTAAGGTTTCACACAAATTCTATACACATTAGCTAAATTCATAAACCTCCAACCTCTCCGCTCCAATCTTTGAGGTTTAAACATTGACTTACAAATAAATGGACGACGGGTCTAATACAAAAACCACGAAAAAAATGTCCCAAGTCAACCTATTCGAAATTTAAATTGTAATGTCATCGCAGTATCGCGCTGTCAGTAGAACAAATGAAGACTAAAGCGGAGTGTCGCGCTCTGTATACGATTTTAGCGCCTTACAAGTGCGGACACTTTTTAGCGCGGACCCGACGTCCATATAATTGTAAGTCAATGGGTTTAAAGCTCTGAGTGGCACTGCAACTGTTATGAACAGGCATGTTGCTTACCACCAGGCCCACAACTTGTCCATACCGTTTTTTTATAATACAAAGGTATTATAAAAAAAACTTTGTATGCACAAAGTAAACTGCCTTCGTGGTGGGACGGTTACCATGTTGGACTGCCATGCAGAGGTCCTGGATTTGATTCCTAGGCCAGGAGAAATATGTGTATGGCCTACATTTATTTCTTTCATGAGTTTGAGTGTAATTTGTGATTGTCTGTGTGTTTCCATGGCACCCGCGACACAGGGTTTTCCTTAGTGTGGGGCTATGAGTGTTTTATTTTTATTATTATTATTATTACAAAGTAACTTTGTATATAAAGGCACTATGATGCTGAGGTGCAGATATCAGCCAGTTACTCCATGACAAACCATATAAATAATTATATGTATAAACAAAAAAATTATTGTCAACTTACCAAATTCTGGTCAATGTTATACAAACCAGAAAAAACTTGATTTGCAAAATACAGTAACTCTGAGTACAAAATGTTTACAAAAATAGGTTCAGAGTCCCTCTGCAGCTTCTTATTGACATGTATATCTTCAGGCCATTCTGTACCTAAATATTTTTGTAACTCCAATTTTTCAGAGTGGGGACTCCAGTTTCTTTCAGTGTACGTTAGGAAAGCATTGACAGCTAGGTAGAATATTTCTCGAAGTTTGTTTTCGTTCTCTGCATATGTTTTCAATAGTTTTGTAAGTTCAGTAGAATCGAGTTTAGTATCCAACAATTCTTTGCACAAATCTTGGTTTTCTATAGTCCATTCACCTGTCCATAATTTCTTAATTGAGATATCATCTACGAGAGAAATTAACAATTTAATAAATGCGAAAATATTCAAAAATCATTTTGGAAAAATTGATAAAAACAATGTATGTTACCTGAGTCTGCAAGTTGGTCGTCATAATTGCATAGGCTCAATATAAAATTACGTTCTGACAACATTTTCGCTTTAATACTATTAAACAAAAGCTCTATAATTTATTCTATTTTCTTCTTATTTCTCTTGGCTTTTCGCGGTAAGCGTAATAATAATATTGTCTTCATGAGCGTGTATTTGACATCATTTGACATTCATACATAACCTCCAAAAAAATGTGACGAACTTTTTTGTTTAATATGGCTTTGCCTTCACATTTAGCCAATGAAGGGGTTTTGAAAACAGAATTACAGATTATAGAAGAGGTACGGAATTTGGATGAAAACGGATTGGGAAGGTGGGTAGCTATTATATACCGGCATACATATTAAAGCTTGATATATATCAAGCTTTAATATGTATGCCGGTATATAATAGCTACCCATGACGAACTTTACTGGTACGTTTCATTGTTTGAAAACATTCTTGTTTTTTTATTTAAAATTCTTTAAAATGGCTGAAACGTTAATCGCGAAATACCAAGGAACAAGGAAAAAAATTCAGTCACACAAGGCACACACTAGTGTAAAAGCTATATATTTTTCATTATCGTAACTCACTCATTAAATCATGTCATGTCTATGGAAGGCTTGACAATGTCATTGCAATCTCGCATAGCATTTTTATTATTGTTCATTCATTTCATCCATCATGTCGGTGGATGATTTATTTTTAGGTTAGTGGTAGTTTTTGTAATAAATTGGACAGACATTGGTCAAAAATGAAATTTATTTATAAGATGGAATCAGTGTTGATAACAATAACTGGTATTTTGTGCACTATATTACTGTTGAAGCTTCTTTATACGTTACGGTGAGTATCTGTTAGAGGTTAGAATTCGCTGCTTTCCCGCCTCGTAGAAATTCATAAAATACTTGCAAATTACTTGTTTTAGATCGATTCTGCTATGGCGCGTGAATTGTTGGTTTTGTAACTATAACTTCTGGGTGAAGTTTGTTGCGCGCAATTGTTGGACTTGCCCCAAATGTGAACAATACAATGGATTCACAAAGGTATGATTTTCTCACATGACACAGCTTCTATTTTTAAGACCGTTACGGTCTTTACGTGCATCTGTAGACGTTAAAATCGATTTTGAAATACTTAATTGCTTAATTTATATCATTGCAATGATTGCAGGATGGCGACTACAACAAACCTTTAATAACACATGCAGACCAAGCCTTGAAGACGCCAAAAGTGTTCCGTAGCCCTCCAAAGAACGGCCTGTGCAAGATGTGTAACATAAACCAACAGCTCAAAGTTACACAGCTTGCCAATTTCGTTCCCATGAATGATAAGAATTATGAAGTAGAGATTGAGACTTATAGGTAAGATTTTGAATAACAAAATTAAATCATGCTGTAGATAATTTATTTTACATATAGACAAATAACTTGCATGTAATAAATTTTACTTGAGTTTGCCTTCTGAATATTTGACTAATTTCAAGTCAAGTTTTGTGAGGATATGGCTCAGTCGATTTACTCGGCTATTTCGCCAACGTAAAGGTTGGAGACTCAGTTGGTATGTTGAGACAAATAAACAAATTGACGGTTATTGTAAGGTTTTTGTGTTATAAGATTCCATAATGTTACTAATTTGCCCTTGCCTAATGTCATAAAATTCTGCTCATATTACATAGGGTGCACTATAAGTTTCCGGAACTGGCCACTTACATAAACAATATTTAAAAAGTAATTACAACATTTGAAAATGGAACTCTTTGACTGGACAATACAGTTTGTTTCATCTAACTGTCACTTGTTTTTACATTGTGGTGTCATTTTAGAAATTGGTTGTCTACATCACCATGGTTTTAACTCTGGGCTGTCAAAGAGTAAGAAAAATATGTTTCAGAGATTGTCACGGAGTGACAAAAAATGCATTTACGTTAATGTAGAATATTTTGAGAAACAATACATTTATTTCTGACCATTTATAGTATTTTTTTCTTATTCATTCCGGAAACTTATAGTGCGCCACCACATATGCAAAAGATTTACAGATGCACTTTTATATTACAGTATTATTACAATTCGATATTCTAAGAGCATTATTACCCCCACATGTAGTATAATATGCAATTATTAAAAATATGGTCAAATTTCCTTTTTTTATATAAAATATAAGGTTCCTGTACTTTGCCATTGATACTTTTATTTAACACCAATGGAAACACTCCTATGCATTGTTATTATTTTTTATTAATTGTTTGAAGTCTTGGCATGTGGAAATCTACATCACGGTTAAACTTCTTCAATAATGTATAAAAAAAATATTATTATTATTATTAGAGTGGTTTATTTTATAAACAAGTTGTGCACTGAGTGGTAAGCAACATGTCTGTCAGTTGCAGTACCACTCAGAGATTTAAATCACCTACCACTGTGCCTGTCACCCTGAGACATAAAGTTAACCATCCCATGTGTCTGTAATGTCTCCAGCACACTTACCTTTCTAAACTGGTATACCACATTACTGCTTGGCGTCAGGAAAATGGACTTTGGGACATCTAAGTAAGCACATATCCAACTTAAGTCAAGAGAGCAGATTCTATAGTGTCCGACATTAAGCAGATAACTCTCAGCGGATGAGACTTTGCGCCTTCTTACTAAATACCACACATAAATGAACAGGATTCTCACTACTGGCACATGCCCAAACCAATGGAGCTCAACAAACATAATACCAAACCAAAAGAAGTGGTGATCACAATAAACCAGATTGTGGTGATGAAGGAGTCCACATGTCATTCATTAAACCAACCAAAAAATAATCTTTTAGGCCATTGGGAGGCATGAGACTAAAATAGATATCCAACATGTCGATTTGAGTTGTTATCTATTTTTAACCGTCTTCAAAAAAAGGAGGAGGTTCTCAAATCGTCTGTATGTTTTTTTTTATGTATGTTACGCGATAACTCCGCGATATGTGAACCGATATTGATGATTCTTTTTTTATTGGAAAGAGGGTACCTCAGAAGTGGTCCCATTTAAATTTGAAGAAAATATTCCACCTCTAAGGGTGGTAAACTAGGGGATTTTAAACGGATGTTAGGTTAGGTTAGGTTAGTAGTTACGGGACAGTCCGTACGCCTGTGGGCCATCCGCATACGTAGAATCCGCAGTGCTCTGAATCGAGTATTTAATTTAGTGCGGATATTTACTGAAGACAGTCGCCGCACTGGTGGCTTGTGTGGAGTTCACGCGTAGCGTCTTCAGTATGAAGCAATCCGCGTCATTGTAAAACGATGTTCTAACATCACACTCCGCTCCGGTGCTCCGCGCAGACAGTCCGCAGAAAAATTCGCACTGTTCCGAAACCAACTTTAGTAACATGATATTCATTTAGTTTTTTTGAAATTATTCAAATAGTTTATTAATACAAAGTTTGAGCACAAACATTTCTTGGATTTGACAGGTTTCAGACGAAGCGAAGGTCGTCATTCCAAGTGTACCATTCTGGTGACCATTTTTCAATTACCAACTACAATTTTCTTAACATCGATTGTGTTATTCTAGTTTTGCCGAGGCATATTATTTTTGCCGCCAAGTGAATTTGTATGTGCTTGAGTGATTTTTGAGGTGCCCATTAGGTATTTCGTCGCCTTATTTTCTCAATCTTAAAGCATACGAGTTACTGAAATGCAGAAAATGGATTGTATGTAGAAATTATGCAGGCTGACTTCACGTCTAATTTCCTTCATATTCACAAACTGGCTTTTACCTATTCTTAAAGTAACGCATCCAAATTAACACCCTTGATAAGAAATTTAAAATAAATAGAAAGTTTTGTTATCTCGTGAATAATCACTATTTATGAGATAAGTCTATACCTATATTATGCCTTCTTTTTATTTCCTGTTGTTAACAAATGTGTCTACTAAAACTATAATTTGGCTCATGTACTACTTTTTGTTTCAGAATGCAGTTAGAAAAGGCTTATAAGCTATGTAGCCCCTGTAAAAAGGTCCTACAAGTAAAACTGCACAAAGAAAAAGAAACTTTATTAGGAAGTAAACTTTTAGAAACTAGGACTCCAGAAAAGAAAAACAGGAAGCAAGATATACAAAGCAAAAAACTACAGAGCTTTATAAACAAAACCTCCAAATTTGTAGCTGGATTACTATTTATTCTGATTTTGCTTGAATGCTACAAAAACATTATGAAACAAAAGAATTTACCCACCTTTATACTAAATGCTAAAGAAATTATATCAAGTCTACTGAAAAGGGTATACTCTATAATTAAAATGAAGACATTAATGACATTCCCATCATTAGAGAATTACATTAGTGATGTAAATAACCTTTTCTGTTTTGATGTTTTGCCAAAAGAACTTAATTTAAGAAATGTATATACAGACCATGCTAACATGTTGACACAAAAAGCCATGGGAGGCTTTATATGTCTAATACAAATTATTGGACTTATATGGAATATAAACAAACTCAAATATATCATTGTTATTGACTTACTAATGTCAGTATTTATGATTATATCCATCGCTAACAAAACTATGGCCATGGACCCAATAATAATGAGCTTAGTAAAGGTTGGTAATATATTATTTTCTTAATTGATTTATAATATTTTATTTATTATTTTATGACAATAAACTGACTGACATGTTTTAGTTATCTACTATTGGAGCTGTCATCGCTATCTATACAAGTATGGATGCGAGGACTACAAAACGTGTTAAAAGAATGCCCATAACACCACCAAAAAGAATGAAGAACTTGACAAGTCCACCAAAGCATTTGATTGAAGATGAAGAAATGTCTACCATGGAAACAGATGACGATGTGTCACTTAGTAAATATGGCTTGCGAGACTTCTCAGATTCCTCCCGTGAGACGATAAGCCCTCTGAATAATAGTTTAATCAATGGTCGTTCTTTTACAATTCGCAGTAATGATTCCTTGTGGACCAAACCTAAATTGAATTCAACTTTCTGTGTTAATTCAGTTCTCAGCAAAAGTCCAAGTTCAGTATCTGATACTGTGTTCATCAAACCCTCTTTCAACAAGTATCAGAAGTTGATCAAAGACGATTCTGACTCTGATTTAGACGAGAGCATCAGTTCCTTGTGTATAGGCAGCCCGAAAAAGGCTAAAAGTAATGGTTCAATTTTTTCTTTGCGTAAGTTTACTGCCACGCCCAACTTCGTCGCTCCAACACCTCTAAATAAGTCAAGGCCTCTGATATCGCCAAGTAAACTAGGACATAGTACATCCTGGGTTGCAGGTGGATACTGGGGTTCGGAAGGCGAGCGCCAAATATTCAATATAAATGGCAGTCGTTCGTCGAGTCAAAGTTCAGGATTCGAATCTCAAGCATCCAGCATGAATCAAAGAAATGTCTTGTCGCAGCCGTCTTCCCGTGAGGAGTCGGTGTGCGGCGAGCCGGACAGGTCTTCGATGTTGATGGATAGATTCCAGAATTGTAACATGAACAGCTGTAATGGCACCTATCAAGCCCCGCAGAACTTCTCTCGTATTAGCTCGCCGGTTTATCCTCAGATGCAGTACAATAACCATGTACAAATTCCTCAACCGAGATTTGCTCAACAATCAGTATCTCAAAATGTGTTCACACAACAACAGCAGTACATACAAACCAACATGTTCAAGACCCCGGGCGGATCGGGTCTCATCAAACTGCCTCAAACTACCTCATTCGCCTCGCGCTAACGACAGCTGCTAGTCAGTGTTCAAGTTTCCAATCAATTTACTTTTGACTTATACGTATTTTATGTCTTATATTCTTTGAACCCTTTTGATGTGTCACGGACTGCCAGATTCTTTGTTAAGTTGTATCATGTTAGCTGTAAGCGGTAGTTATAATAGTTGTATCATTTGAGACTAAAACTTAGTGTAAGATTATGCTGATCTCGTAATGGTGCCAGGTTGACGGCGATATGAAAGCATTAAGAATTATTGATGTAGTTTATATAAACGGACGTCACTGTCCTATTCTCGAACAAAATGTGATATTGTAAAGACTAGTGTTTCTGCAAAATGTGAAGAAAATGATTCTTGATGTTATCATTTTTTTGGTTTTGTCGTTTTTCTCGTTATAGGTTTTGTCATTTTGAATCGGAAACTTTTTGTGAAGCTCCTGTAATAAAAAAAATGTAAATGATACTTATAGTTGTTTCATTCTAGTTATATTATAACTAGAGATGGACGATTGTTACTAAAAAAATATCGAATAAATCGATAATTGCACTATCCTATATTCTATCACTAATTTAGTAATTACTATATTATCTTTATTACTATATGATCCTTACCTATTTAGTACCAATAGATCCTATTACTAATTTATTAACAATCCATCCTATTACTATTACGATATTCGATCAACAATCAAAAATTAGTAACCAGATTTTTTTACATTATAATCTATTACTATAAATGCGTTACTACGCATGCACTCAACATAGCCCCGCACCAGGGAAACCCTGTGTCGCGGGTGCTATGAACAAACACAGGCTCAACTCTCACTGGTGCAGAGTATGAACGTCGCGTCGCGACCCGTTTTTCAATTACAGCGTCGCGGGTCGCCGCGCGAAACCGCTTAACTTTAACCAAGCGTCCACGCGCGACAGTGTGAGTTGAGACAACCACAATTTACACACAAACTCACGAGATAAATAAATGTAGGCCATACAAATATTTCTCCCGGCCTGGGAATGGAACCTGGGACCTTTGCGTGACAGTCACCTTTCAGCCACAGAGGCAGTTCTGCCCTTGTAACGAAATTATAATAATAACGCACACATCTCAACATAGCCCCGCACTAGGGAAACCATGTGTCGCGGGTGCCATGGACACACATAGACAACCACAAATTACACCCAAACTCACGAGAGAAATAAATGTAGGTCATACAAATATTTCTCCCGGCCGGCGGCCCGGGAATCGAACCTGGGACCTCTGCGTGGCAGTCCGGCATGGTAACCATTTGACCACAGAGGCAGTCTAGAAATAAGGCACAACTATGCGTACTTTATACAGCAGTTGCGCCTTTTTTCGTTCTGAAGGCAGGTTAGTTTAGATAAAGTAACTACATCGATTCACAATCGGTATTTGATCGACAATTAAAAAGTGAAGTGTTGTAACTAATCATTGATATCAACAATCGAATGATTTCGATTATGTTTATAATCGAATAATTCTATTATTTTTTAGTAATTGTCGTCCATCGCTACTTATAACCAGAAAAACATTGATGTATCTTGTACTTACGAGTCTCGTGCTCTCCTCTCTTTACTTGGAAGGTACTGATTGAGACGCGGCGCTGTATAAGTGTCTTCGTAGAGGCTAGACGAGTAATCCGAGACGTCTGTACAAGCCCACTCGTATTGCTTGTAGGACCGTAAACCCCATTCGGTCAAGTTACCCTGAGGATTATGGAGTCTATAAGATGTATAAACAAGGAAGCAAAAAGGGTAGATTAATCTAGTCGACGAGTTGTAGACATATTAACACTGGAGATTTGATCATATGCGACCAAACGGCAAAACTCACTATCAAGATTTAAATTAAAACTCAATCTTACGATTGGACAGTCCAAATCCAACCCTGCTGTTGATTGTATATAGAATTAACTATCTCCATGGCCGAACGGTTACCATGCCTGACTGCCACGCAGAGGTCCCAAGTTCGATTCCCGGGCCGGGAGAAATATTTGTATGGCCTACATTTATTTCTTTCGTGAGTTTGGATGTAGTTTGTGGTTGTCTATGTATGTGTCCATGGCACCCGCGACACAGGGTTACCCTAGTTCGGGGCTATGTTGAGTGTGTGCGTTGTTATTAAAGAAATAAGTAGGTAAAAAGAATACCACAAAGCAAAAAATATTACATAGCACTTGGTCAAATCAGGTTGCGGATAATATGTGTGTTCAGCCCTCTTGTAGTAACGGAACGGCGCACTATGGGAACCCTCTTAAGAGAGCCATCTCATAAATGCTTTTTATAAAAGCATGCGGGGATGCATGTGTTATACCTTAAATTGTAGCTGAATAGTTACTCTATTATTATAAATAAGATTCAAATCTCTAACCATTCGTATGGCACAGTTGAAATCATTTGAAGATAAGGAATAAAACAAATACAAAAACAACTTTGTAACTTTTATTTCTTCGATATGATTTTCTAGTATGAAAACAATAGAAATCATATAAGTTTTACCCCATTTTAGAAAGCTTGGAATGTGTACTTTACTTTCAGATATAAAAAATGTGTAATTTAGCACAACATTATTTAAACAAAAATATATAAACATCATATGTAATATTTTCTTTTTCTAATCTTTGACTTTGAGATATGACAGTTGCCGAAGCTTGCCGAAGTTCTATTTTTTATGTTATTTTGTAAGAAATATGATATACTTAGATGGCAAACAAAAATTTCTTGCGGTTTCAGTGCGGAACATGTTTTAATTTCGTAAAATATGCAGTAAACTTTTTATTAATTTTAATTTCGTACATTAAGAGTTTCTATTTTTCGGAATTTTCTGCCCGTACCGTCAAAAAACGCATATGACACTATTGTTAGATTATATTTTATATTTTGCGGTATTTTTATCACATATTTCTCACAGAATTTGATTCCAATTGACAAACAGTACCATTAAAAACCGCATAACCGCATTATGATAAATTAGTTTTTATGAAGTAATTTTGCACTCGTCTTCTGTCATTATTTAGTATAAAACAGTGACTTTTTCATTAAACATTACAGTTCTTCATTAGTTTTTGTTATTAGCAAAAGTTTGTTACGCAGTACCTTTCCACAATGAATGAATTCTCGTGCACCAGACGCGACTTAAGTCTCGTGTTGATTGAAAGTGATTCGAATTATGTTGTTTCTATTACACATTATATACGAAGCAATTTCACAGAATCTTCAGATGAAAACATAGCAAAAATTATAGCAAATATTCAAAAATCCTTCATAAACCAGTTTCGTCAACGCTTTTCTAAAGCGGGTCGAAAGAAAGATCTGTTTTTAAGTAAAAACAGCAATTGGTTGGATGGCATATTCACGGTGAAACTAGAAGAACCTACATGCCAACCTGAACCTTCTACATCAGAAGAAAAAAGAGGAAGACCTTCTAAAACGTACGAAGATAGTTCAGTGAGCACAAAAAAACGTAAAAACAAGGAATTGCTTGATTCATGTGGACTTGATTTCATATTGAACTCGTACATACAGGGCTTAAGGTCTCGTGGCGAAGTAGAAGAAGCCTTAATTGTTGAAGTTTTACGAACATTGCCGTCAGAAAAAAAAAGTGAAATACGCAATAGTCTTCTTAATGAACCAGCACATATAACAGCGTATTCAAAAGACGAAGCACTCAGCATTTTTATAGAATTAAATCTGAACAAGGCACAGTATGACAATATGAGAAATTGTTTAATTACAAAAAATTGCTTATTGTTTCCTTCTTACAAGTCGATTCGTGAAGCTAAGCGAATGTGCTATCCACCAGAATCTAGCGTTGAAATTACTAACATAAAAGCACAAATAAAACTACAAGATCTTTTAGATCACACTTCAGCCAGACTTCTAAAAATTAATGATGTTTATAAAGTGGGTTCAACCCACTTAATGCTATACTCCAAATGGGGCTGTGATGGATCAAGTGGACAAAGCGAATACAAACAACCCCTGTCTGAAGAGAGTGATCTAATTTCAGACTCTAATTTATTTATATCATCTTTAGTGCCATTGCGACTTATTGATACCAATACTAATGAAGTATTGTGGACTAATCCTGTTCCTTCGTCAGTGAGATTTTGCCGACCAATTTTGATAGAATTTTCAAAAGAAACAGCTGAGAAAACAACACTGGTAGTCAGCGAAATTAATGCTCAAATTTTAGCCCTGAATCCTTCCCTAATTAATCACAATGGAGAAGGTATTGAAATAAAACACACGTTGTTTTTAACTATGATTGATGGGAAAGTGGCTCAAGTTTTATCAGAAACTTCCTCAAGTGCTGTGTGCACTATTTGCAGTGCAAGACCTACAGAAATGAATAATTTAGAAAGAGTGCGAAACAAACCTGTGGATGAAGCTTCTTATCAATATGGGCTTTCAACTTTGCATTGTTGGATCAGATTTATGGAATTTATTTTACATTTATCTTACAATCTAGGTTTTGAAAAATGGTCTGCCACAACAACAGAGAATAAAGATTTAAAAAAGCAAAAGAAAGCTTACGTACAAAGAAGGTTCAGAGAAGAACTTGGATTGAATATAGATAAACCTAAGCAAGTAAGTGGCAACACTAATGACGGTAATACAGCCAGAAGATTTTTCCAAAACTACCATTGTTCATCAGAAATCACTGGAATAAATGAGGAATTAATAAAACGGTTTTATGTTATACTTCAGGTCATGTCAAGTGGTAGAGGTATTGATGCCACGAAATTTGGACAGTATGCATTCGATACAGCACAGCTGTATGTTAATAAATATAAATGGTATTACATGCCGTCATCAGTGCACAAAGTGTTGATTCATGGTGAGAGTGTCATACGTCATTTTTCTGTCTTGCCTCTTGGACAACTTTCTGAAGATGCTCAAGAGTCACGAAACAAAGACTATAAGCAGTTCAGACTTCATCATGCAAGAAAATGTTCGAGGGCAGCCACCAACGAAGACGTTATACACACACTTTTGTATACCTCTGATCCATACATTACAAGCTTGAGAAAACCTTACAACAATAAATATTTGGAACTTCTTGATGAAGCAAAAGAGCTCCTGAGTGACTACTAAGCTATGTTTTTATGTATTCTTGATATTTAAAATAGGCACTTCATCTTATTAATCTATAAATTTATAAGAACATGCATGGTTAAATCTAAGAAATTAATACTTTTTTATTCCTTAGTTTCTTATAACTATAATAAATAAAATTTGACTTATAAAGTGTACATTATTTAAGAGAATATCTATTTAGGTATACCCAGAAAAAAAATCTGGTAGATATCATCAAAAACACGGAAGTTATAGATTTATGATATGAAAAGGAGTCAAGGTTCCCATAGTGCGGCGGCCCACAAAGCGGTTTCGGCATGTGGTTGTAGACCAGATCGTTGATGGTTGTGTAGTTACCACAGCCTTCGTGGCTGTCGTGTTTTGATACTACGATCATATTGCCCTGTTGACATAAACAGATACCTAACATTTGTCAGCGTATTGTGTTTATTTTGAGCCATATGCTGTAAAGTGCCTCGCCCTACCCCACGAAGCCGTTAAATACCTGTGTACTGTTCAATTTATTCGAACGAAAATCAGGTTGCCGTGTTTCTGGTTTCATTTTCTCGTAATCTATTTCTTCTTTGGGCGGGAAGTATAGTGTTCCTCCTTTTGGACATTCTATTCCCTCTTCCACCCAATTGCCTGAATAAAAAAATTAGCAAAAGTGAGACGTGACTATTTTGCATCACTATAATCTAAAAATTTGATTTTCACATCCATTTTAGAAATAGCCACAACACAATAATCCAAACAGTTATTTGTATAAAAAATTATGTGTATAAAAAAAAGATAAAGCTAAACTAAAACAAAAAATAGAGTAACCAAATAAAGTGCGGCTGTGGAGTATGTAAAAGATTCACTCAACTAATATCACCGCCGAGAAAAGCTGTGACGATGATTTTCAGTGCACCCTAAAACTGCGTGAGTACCGGACGTGTGTGTCGCGTGTAAACTAAAATAAATTACTTACGTTTTATACGTATTTGTTTCAGTAATATAGTACCAATGTTGGGTTGGGTTACATACAATTTTTTGTAATAATAATTTTATTTATAATACAAACTTAATAAACATAATAAAATAACAATGCTAGTAAGAACTATTACGTAAATTGCGTTAAGTTTTACAATGATCGAATGAGAATTAGCGTTTGAGATTTTGAGTTTACTATTAACACTTGGCAATTACGCTGTCCAAGCGCTGCACAACCCAATGAAAGGGACTGTCGCTATTAATTAATTATTTATTTATATAGCATTTCGTCGCACCTACACCACCAGGGTATTAACATTACGCTGCCGCTCTGGCAGAAGGCCCTGACTGACCCATACTGGGTAGCAAAAATGAGATATGCACGTATCAATTGTATTGCATATAATAAAGCAATGTTGAAGGCATCGTTCTGAAAGGAATACCAGCATGCTAATTTTGATTCCAATCGGTATCGAACCGATCGGGTAATCTCGAAATCAGGGGGGTCTACTGTCGATCTCCGTCCGAAACAATTACTGCCATATAAGCATTACTTGACCGAATGAAAAGACGCGTGATGCGAATGAAGCTTTATTCTTGATACTCGTCTTTTAATTTTGTCGAATATTCGGACAGATGTCAGACGAAGATCGAGAGGAGACCCCCAGATGGGTTTCCGAGCGAGAAGATGAACCTGATTCCTACTATATTTTTCTAATTTTTGAGTTAAATCAACTATTGTTCCGATTTGAAGACGCAAATACACAAGAGGAAAAGACGCAATTTCCGATCGGGAGAGGCAATCAAAATCAAGCTCCTGATTTAGGAATCTATATCTTTCTAATTTGTGAGTAAATCGACTATCGTTCCGATTTGAAATGTCGAAAGTTTCCGATCGGCTAGTTATAAATCGCTATTATGCGCCTCGACTCGAAAAAGACGCAGTCAATCAAAATCAAGCTGCAGGACTAGCTGTTATTATGCCGAAAATACTTACCCAAAAGAACTCCTTGCTGGTAGACAGGCTTAGGCCTCATGGCCAGAAACAGTGCCTCCGCCCGTGGCGGTGACTTTGGCCGCATATTTATCATATTGTCTTAAGAATGTTGTTGACTAAAACAGTAAATTACTACAAAACGTTTTGAGTTCAGTTAAAATGCTCACTGGTTATTATTATTTACTTTATGGTGGCCACTAAACTTGTGCCGAGTCGGCAGTTTTATAAGAATAATATAAATATTATGGCGATCATCGCCAAAGTCAGTAATGGGTAAAAAATTATCGCAAAAGAGACAATTTAATAAATACTAAAAATAAATGATTATTTGATGATTTTTTTTGTTTACAAACCTGGTCACTGATTTTAGTTCACTAAAAATAATTACAAAAATATTGTCAGTCTGATTGTCACAGTCAAACCTTTGGTTTTATCTTAGAGGATGGAAAAAGGTTTTATACATTTTCTTTGGTCTATGTAACCTTAGTCCTTTTTTCTTAAGAGGGAGCAGAGGAAAAATTCCTAATCTTCGATCCACTTTAAAGTTAAAAATAAAATATTGTTATACCTACACGATATATTCAAGCATAGACATTAATCAGAAACATAAAACAATAAAGTTTCCTCGATAGATAAAAATCACGAAATGACCTCTAATTTTCAAATTTTTTCGATTTATCCTCGAAATGCTACAGGTTATTAGGGCAAAAATTAGATAATTAATTATATTTATGCATGATCGACAACTGTCACTACGGATTTCTTTTTAATCCCTTTAGTTTTACAGTTATTCTGCTAAAACGAATTTGGTACTTTTAATGCGCAAAATTCAACATCTCCTGTCGCATGTCACGCGAACTTCAGGCATATATTTGTTTCACAAATTTGGGCGGAGCCAACGTCAAAACTTTTTTGGCATGAGAGCTCTTAAAAGGGAGCAGAGGAAATATTCCTAATCTTCGATTTGATTTTAGAGGGGTATATCCACTTATAGTTAAAAATAAATTATTGTACGAGTAACTACACGATATATTCAAGCATAGACATTAATCAGAAATATAAAACAATAAAGTTTCCTTGGTAGATAAAAATCACGAAATTACCTCTAATTTTCACTAATTTTCACATTTTTTCGATTTATTCTCGAAATGCTACAGGCTATTAGGACAAAAATTAGATAATTCATTATATTTATGCATGATCGAAAACTGTCACCACGGATTCTTTTTTAATCCTTTTAGTTTTAGAGTTATTCCGCTAAAACGAATTTGGTACTTTTAATGCGCAAAATTCAACATCTCCTGTTGCATGTCACGCGAGCTTCTTATATATTTGTTTTTACAAATTTGGGCGGAGCCAACGTCAAAACTTTTTTGGCATGCTCCCTCTTAAGGTTTTATAAGTTTCTAAGTAAAACATTATCTGAAGATTTAAAGTTAAATTGACAGCAAAGCTGCCATCATACCTTCATTATATTCATCCTTAGGTCATTTAAGCTATACGTAATTATGGTACAAATTCACGCACAAAGTGTTTCTAAAAATAAAAACTTCTTGAACCATACTATTTTATTTCTCACACATTCATAGCTATATCAATTTGTATGTGAGACTTTCACTACAGGTACATTAATAAACTTAATATATAACAAAATACTTACAATAACTTAACATAGTTCACAAACAATTTAAAATACCTAATATAGAGGTAAATAATTACATAGACGAGGCTTTTAAATGCAGGCTACAGGAAAAAACACTGCTAATTTTTTTTATTTAATTATTTGTTTTAAGCGCTTTCAAAAGAGCTTTTGGATATTTAACAGAGACAAGGAGGTAAGAAACTGTATAAATAACAGCACAAAAACAACAATGAGAATAGAGAAAAATTGTTTGTCAAAATTTTAAATATTTTTTCCCTCAAAATGTAAGTGAAGTTGTGACAAGAATATCTCTCACTGTAGTCTTCAAATGATAATGAATTCAAAAAAATGCTAAATTTTTTAAAACATCAATATAGGGAAGCTTTAATGACTTTCTTCAGTCTCCATAGGTGCATTCAAATTCGGTTTTGGCAACTTCTCAAGATAGGCATTCAATCGGCTCTCAAGAGGGCCCACACGTCCCAGCAGGTATTTTAGATCTTTCTGCACTTCTTGAAGATCTTGATTTATGATCTCCATGTTCTGGAAAATTAAATATTGGTTGATAGATGCAAATGTTCATGAAAACCATACGTAATATTTATGTTATCGAGTTCCAAGAAGTCTCAAGATGTAAAGGGCAAAATTTTCTCATGGTAACTGAAGGTGATTTTCAAACTTAGCAAAGGAAACTTACCTCTAGTACGGCTTCGTACATGAGCTTGAAATTCTTGTCGCTGTAAAGCAAGAATCCGCTAACATTCGATTCGGAGTCGGATGGTATTGTTAGAGTCATCTTGATAGTTAGGTACTAGACCGGGGGTGGCTCGGGGCGTGTATTAGAATTCAATAAATTAATAAAATCAATACCTCAAGCTTCCCTTCACTTTTAAAAATAAATTTGGCATAGACCTTTTGAAAAACGTTTCAATATGACGTTTCCGTTTAGGAATTTTCGTGTTAAAAAAGAGAGATGGATGGATAACAGCACGAGATAAACAAATGCCTTTAAGATGATCTAAGTCTGTATTATTTGAATATTAAAATAAAACATTAAATTACGTAAAATACGTGACAATCAAAAGTCGTCTTTCCAAATTGCACGAAAACTGCTCTCCTGTTTATGAACGACAATTAGCGTGCATTTAAAGTTAGGTAGTAAATACATTCAAGGTAGTCAATCACAAACAAAAACAGTTTCTCCTCCGTAAATATTATTCCTATATATTACATAAATCCCGTTTTACTTTCCAATTTCCTGGTTAAAATACTTAAAATCCATCCTAAATATAAATGTCAGCATTACTTTAGAGTTTTTTACAAACAAGTTTTGAGTAGAGGCTATAGAACGTACCTAGTGGCCAAAGAGAACATATAGTGATACTAGTGGCTGTCAAAGTCTGACATCGTAATTTTCCTGTTAAAATATTCGCTTTCAAAAAATACTATTTTACGGACACAATATCGTCTTTTCTTAAGTTAATGTTTAAGTTTCAGTGACAAAGTAAAGTTATTTTGCGGAAAGTGTTTATGGTAATAGCTTTTTTAGTTATATTTTGTGCAAAAATAGGGCAAAACCTATGGTGCGACTATTTTCAAATTTTATGCAGTTTTATTGATTATTTAAAATAAGTAATTTTTTCCAAACAGTTTATTGATAAATAAAACTGTTCTCCTTTAGATTTTAGCACGTTTACGGTGGTTATTTGTATCAAAACATCTTTATTTTAGTAGTATGTACATTGTATCTATTTTAATTGACCTAGTAAGTGAGTACTTTCCATGTTATGGTTCTCTGCTGTATGTGCTTATTTTAAACTCTAATAAAGAACTACCCAATAAAATATTATAGCAACAAACAAATGTATATTTTGCCTTTAGTAGGTCTTGTTTGGACAAAAGAAACCATAACAAAAGTATATTGAAAGAAAATGAATATTTATTTAACGACTTCGGTGCAGCGCACCTATCCGGATTTGATTCCCTGTCAAACCAATTTGGAAAATGAACTTTTATAAATTGGTTTTGGTGTCAATGTACTAGGCTACAGACTTTATGCAATAAATGTGATATACAATGTGTCCATCAATTTAGTTTATTACATACGATCAAAAACATAGAATAATGTAAATACAAGTATAATAGAATAGCTACAATTTTTCCAGTGTGTATGACATACAAAACAACAGAAATAATATCAACAGTAATAACTATTGACAAGCTTGAATCTTCATAAAAATGGAGGTAAATTAATTTGCTACTCCGTGAACCCAGTGAAGGTTAAATAGCTGCACTTATATTGTATATTTTTGTAATGCGGTTAATTTTCTCACCCTGTCTCCGCATAAAATTAATAAAATAAATAACACAAGTGCAATTACAGTCACCAACAACACCACCATAAATTACATGTGTTTCCCCTCTGTATGAGGCATCCTCAGGGATTTTTGGTTGTTCGACTCTAGGCCATTTTTAGCATAAGTGCAAAAAAAAGCAATTGTTAATAAATAATAAATAACGCACACACTCAACATAGCCCCGCACTAGGGAAACCCTGTTTAACCTTGACTGGGTTCATGGAGTAGCAAATTCATTTACTTCCATTTTTTATAAACATGCAAAGTAAGCCCTGAATCTATTAATTAAGCTTGAATCTTGGTCAAGGATATGTCATACCAAATAATTCACCTGTGACACTGGGAAGTGCCCTAGAGTGAATTCCGTTGCTCTGGTACTCATAGTAGTGTGATTGTTTGTTTTTGTACAGACAACAGCACATCAGACTACACATTTTTGTTCGAAAATTGCCTCTAGTGGAACAGAACAAGATACGTCAATGTGTAGCTTGGTGTGCTGTTGACTGTAATTCGTGAAATTCAGTATGAAATTCATTAATTCGGTACGTATTGCTTGTTGAAATTAATAAATTTTTCTGTTTGTAAGTAACAATTATAATTAATTTGCGCTTTATGGACAATTGAAAGGTAAAAACGTAATATTTTTGTTGTTCATTAGCGTGTTTTGTACTTTGGAAATATTTTTTTTGCTGAAACAAATTTCAATCTGCTGTTTTACAAATAATAATACTTAATATTAATACTAGCAGCAGTAGAGATCCTTGTGAAAGAGTTCGTCCAGGGAAGTACCTATTTCTGCCAGCAAGCAGTAATGCTAACATTACTGCTTGGTGGCAGCATAGCATTATGCATTCCAGTTTGGAAATTACAGGTACAATGACAGGGGCTTGTCAACTTATGTCTCAGGGTGATGGGCGCAGTGACAGTGCCCCTCAGATCTCTGCGATTTAAAGCTCTGAGTGGCACTGCAAGTGTTATGGACAGGCCTGTAGCTTACCATACTTATTCGTCCCTTCATTTGATATTATAAAAATAAAAACGAACTTATTTATGAAAACTTGTTTATGTAGGAAAATATGCATAAAGCTATTTTCGAGTTATGTCACTTTACCTATGCCTTTTACCTTTTAACCATCAATATATTGCTGCTATTGCCTGATAACTTGGAGTAAATTTAGTAGGTTCCTCAGTTAATATATATTTAATATATATTTTTTTAATATATATTTTCTTAATATATATTTTTTTAAATTCAGGCTTGTTGTTCGATGA